CCCCACGATGTCCCTCAGCACCCAGATGGGGAGACCTTTGGCATTTCTCCCTCTTGGCCTGGCCTGGGCCCCCTCCAGCCTTGGAAAGACCCGTCTCCCTCAGCATGCAGGACAAAACCCTGAGCCTCCACAGCTCTCTTCCTCAAGGCCAAGTGGCCAGGACTCCTGGGTCCCCTTTGGGAGGAGACTCGGCAGGAGCCAGGACTCCTGGGTCCCCTCTGGGAGGAGATTTGGCAGGAGCCAGGACTCCTGGGTCCCCTCTGGGAGGAGACTCGGCAGGAGCCAGGACTCCTGGGTCCCCTTTGGGAGGAGACTCGGCAGGAGCCAGGACTCCTGGGTCCCCTCTGGGAGGAGACTCGGCAGGAGCCAGGACTCCTGGGTCCCCTCTGGGAGGAGACTCGGCAGGAGCCAGGACTCCTGGGTCCCCTCTGGGAGGAGACTCGGCAGGAGCCAGGACTCCTGGGTCCCCTCTGGGAGGAGACTCGGCAGGAGCCAGGACTCCTGGGTCCCCTTTGGGAGGAGACTCGGCAGGAGCCAGGACTCCTGGGTCCTCTTTATGGCAGGCAAAGGGCATCTTCCTCTCTAGCTGTTCCTTTAAAAAATGAGTATTTCTATCCAGGTGGCATTCATGTTCTCCTCATAACGGCCCTGACAGGCCCAAGGTCCCTGAGGGAGCTTCAGGGCTGCGTGGGGATTTGAACCCAGGACTCCCAGGCTCCCATATCCCAGTCAAACCACAGCCCCACACTGGATCCTTGTAACCTTTTCCACCTCAAGACTAGGCCTGCAGGGACATCTCTCCTGACATTTTTGTCCCCTTCTTGGTATTGTGTGGAAACAGCAACAAGTCTTCTTGCCCCTTAAAGACTAGCAAATAAATGATGGCATAAAAACGTCCTTGGTGTGTTTCTCTGTTCCAAACTGGATTGTTTCCCAGGGGACTTTGCCCCCTTCTGCCTCCCTTAGCAACCTCTGAGTCAGGCTGGAAAGTCCCAGGGCAGTTCCCAGAACAAGGCCTTTTTATTTTTAATGTTTGTTTTCATTTTTACTTATAACAAAATGTTTGTTTTCATTTTTACATTTTACTGAGGGTGCAGTAAACAGTCTTTGGCAAGTTCCAATAATCTAAATTTTGTTTGCATGCCAAGCTAGCAAAGGAATCTCAAGTGACAGCATCTCAGGCTGCTTGACTGACATTTCTCACAGGAATTGAAGAATGGAGGCAGATTTCACTGAGAAAGTACTCATCCTTCATTAATACTGGTGTTTGTGTGTGTCTGTTTCCTGCCCTCATGCTTTTCCCCTCTGCCACAAGACACCCTCCCCCATTTCTCCACAGTCCCTAGTTGTCTTTTCTCATTTTCCCTTTTTTGTGATCCTCCGCTGCCCCCTGCCGGCTGCTTTCTTCCCCGGCTGAAGTGGAAATCAGGTGATTTCTAGGAAATCCTTCAAGGGACCAGTTGAAGCAAGTCACGTGTTGCAAAAAAAAAGGTCAAGGTTCCCACATATGTCACAGATTTGGAATCGGTGCAAGTGGGTGTGTGCCTACCTATGGTGTGGAAAAGCGGAAATATATAAAAGTTTTACAAATCACGTAATCAGAAAAAGCCTATTTAGAGTATGGGGAACGTATAAATACTTATTAGAAAGAAAAGCACCACTGTGGAAGCTACAAGCAGGAAAAGAATGAATATGGATAAGCAGTGGTTAACTTACAGTGAAATTTTATCTCTTGCAGGACAGGAACCAAAACTGAGAAATCTCGAGGAATCAAGAAATCTGGTTACCAATTAGCTACAGGTACATCACATTAATGGTTTAAGATAGATAGGAAAAATGGCTTTGCAGAACAAAAGTCTCAGTTTACCAAAGACCTATTAGATACAAATATAAAAGTATTATCAAATATGTACAAACTGCTGTTGGAGTGGGAAACGAAAGAGGAATTTGTGAAATTTAGCAGGATTAAGTGGGCACAGGATGTGGGTCACAAAATCGATTATGAATTATGGGGAAAGTTGTGGAAAATAAATATGAATTTAACGGCAAGTTATGCGATAAAAAATTATATGATGAAAATGGCCCACAGATGGTATTTAACACCCCACCAGAATGACAAAAATGTCTAAATAAGAAAAAGGTATATTTTGGAAGTGTAATGAAATTGAGGGATCTTTTATTCACATGTGTTGGTCGTGTAAAATAATTAAGGGATATTGGGAAACGATATAAAATGAATTTTAAAAGAAACACCTGAGAGTTTCCTTTTGGGGATGGTAAGAACAGAGGTCCCCCAAAAACAAAAGAGTTTATTACTATGCACCACTGCCACAGTTAGAACCTTATTGGCACCAAGGTGGAGAACAAGGATAGAACCCACTCAGGAAGAACGGCAGTGTAAAATGTTTGAATGTACTGAACTAGCTGGTCTGACGAACAGGATAAGAGAAAACAGATATAAGGAATATAAGGAGGAATGGATAATGCCTAGTGAATATTTCAAGAACCTGTCTAGAGAAAGACATAGCTTAGCAGGGCTCGTATAAATCCAGCAGTTGAAACGGATGAGAGTATTTAATAGATAACAAATTGGATTATTAAAAAGATGTGGATTACGCAGAGTAGTAGAAAAGCAAAGGAACCAGGAAAAGTGTGGAAGGAAAGCCATATGGTATATGCATACATGTTGTATTTGGTATGAAGTTGTAAGTGGGGCAGGGGAAGAGGATGGAAGGAGAGGGGGGATGTTAAATATTCTCTCTGTTCCTGTTTTTGAAAATGCAAATAATTTTTTTAAAAAAACTGATCCCCTCCCCACGGAGACCTCTTTTCAAGGTGGGCATCCACCCCCACTTATCGATGAAAGACCTGGTAGAGCTGCTTAAATGTTAACATAGGTCCCAGTCTACAACCTTCTACGATTATACAATAAAATAATACTAATACAGAAATAATAATTTGGGGTGCTTTGCAACCATCAGTGCAGTTCTTCATGTGTTGCCTAGACGTACTATTATCTGCGCATGTACATGTGCAAATGATTTGCAGTGCTCCAATATCTCCTTGTTTTCTGCCAAGACCCATTGGACGTAGCATAACTCACCCACCAAGGCCAGCCCAATACATTTTGACACCCGAGGCCGGCCCCCAAATGGCATCCCTCCCCCCACCAGGGAAGAAGCAGCGAGGGAAGATTTACATCCAGGGCGGAGGGAGAAAGATTAGCACATTTTAAATGGTATTGTTTTAACATTTTGGTGTTTGCTGCCCTGAGCTGCTTTGGGAGGAAGAGTGGGATAAAAATGTAAAACAAATTAAATATTTTGGGCATCTCCTTTTCATTTCAGTGGGAGAACTTCTTCCTGGGATTGTGGACTTTAGGGGGAACCCTGCCTTGGTCATTTCCCACCACACACTGCCCCAGATCAGCTCTCTATATATTTCTTTTATTACATTCCCAACCCTCCTTTCTTCCATCCTGGAACCAAAGGCAGCATCCAGGTGGTCCCCAATCCCGGCACTGACCGGACTTCAGACCCTCTTGGCTTCAGCAACAAGGTGGTCTCATGTAACTTAAGCCCACCCCTGCGAAAACACAGATTCTGTCCCCATCTGGCTTTGGACTCTAGTTCTTCAGTCACTTTGCACTGGGAGACCAATTATTGGCACCTCCCTGCCAGAGTCTGTGAAGATTCTCAGGAGATGCTGGTCTCTGGAACTACTGTGATAAGAAGGAAAGAACCACTAAAGAAGGGAGTGCACCCTTATTTATTTCAATCAAATGGATACAGTGGTACCTCTGGTTTCATACTTAAATAGTTCCGGAGGTCTGTTCTTAACCTGAAACTGTTCTTAACCTGAAGCACCACTTTAGCTAATGGGGCCTCCCGCTGCTGCCACACCGGCGGAGCACTATTTCTGTTCTCATCCTGAAGCAAAGTTCTTAACCCGAGGTACTATTTCTGGGTAAGCGGAGTCTGTAACCTGAAGCGTATGTAACCCGAGGTACCACTGTACTACAAAATAATAGTTATAATTTTATTATTTTTACCCCACCCACTTGGCTGGGTTTCCATTAAAAACAGAGTAAAACTTCAAACATTAAAAGCTTCCGTAAACATGGCTGCCTTCAGGAATAAAAATAATACAGTGGTACCTCTGGTTGTGAACGGGATCCGTTCCGGAGCCCCGTTCGCATCCTGAAGCAATGCGACACATCTGCGCGTGTGCAGGTTGCGATTCGCCACTTCCACGCATACGTGTGATGCCATTTTGACCGTCTGCCCATGCGCGAGTGGCAAAACCCAGAAGTAATGTGCTCCGTTACTTCTGGCTCGCCACAGCTGCAACCCGAAAATACTCATCCTGAAGCTACTTTAACCCAAGGTATGACTGCAATAACAATTACATCCAGTGTTGTCAAAGGAAGGTGCAGCAAATCCATTGGGTTAGGCAAGAAGAGTCCTGGGGCCCCTGGAGGTCTAAGAGAGTTACTGTGTTATTTCCACAAAAGAGTCTTATTAAGCAATGCCAGCCTATGAGAAGGGAAGGAAGATGGCGAAAATCATATGGTGGGAACCGCAGAGAGGAAAAATATGTTCCTCAAGGTCCACAGTGGGAGAACCTCCTCCTGGGATTGCGGACTTTGGGGGCAACCCCGCCTTGGTCATCTCCCACCACCCCCTGCCCAAATCAGATATCTATACATCTCTTTTATTATATTTCCAAGCCTCTTTTCTTCCGTCCTGGAACCAAAGGCAGCATCCAGGTGGTTTCCCCCACCCCCAGGCCCTGACCAGACTTCACACCCTCTTGGCTTCAGGTAACTTAATTCCACCCCTGCAAAGCCACAGATTCTGTCCCCATCTTGCTTTGGACTCTAGTTCTTCAGTCACTTTGCACCGGGAGATCAATTATTGGCACCTCCCTGCCAGAGTCTGTGAATATTCCCAGGAACTTCAAAATCTCTGGAACTCCTGTGATAAGAAGGAAAGAACCACTAAAGAAGGAGGTGGAGCACCCTTGTTTATTTCAGTCCAATGAATATTGCAAAGCAATAATGACAATTACATCCAGTGTCTTCAAAGCAAGGTGCAGCAAATCCATTGAGGCATAAAAGTCTTATTTCTAGAAAAAAATAAGGAATGCCAGCCTATGAGAAGGGAAGGAAGATGGAGGGAATCGTATGGTGGGAACAGCAGATGGACGGAGTATGTTCCTCAAGGGCCACAGGTGGAAAAGCAAGAATGTGTGAGATAAAAATTAGGCAAATTGAAGGCAACAAATTTACTTGGAAGAGTTCATGTGGTCCCAGTCCCAGTGGGTCACACCCCCCCCCAGAAGGCTGTGGGGACCAGGCAACAAGTCTCATGAACTGAAGGCCTGAAGCCCAAAAGAAGGGGCTGCTTATTTCAGATCAAACTCTGGCCATGAAGCTCCTGATCTGCCTCTTCTCCATGTTGGCTTCCTCCTGGGCTGTCAGCAGAATCTGAAGCAAGAATTGGCCAAAATCCATCAGAAAAACATGATTATCCTCCAATTCTAGTTACAGCTGGAGTCAGAATGGATGAGTGAGAGCCAGGATTAAGGAACATCCTAAACAGCTCTGAGCCTCTGCAATTCACAGCCAAACTTGGGCAGGCTCCTTCTGGTCTCATCTCACACACTGGGCTGGTATGAAACTGCAGAAATAAAGAACAGGGGTGTTTAAAAGTTAAGCCAACATCATGGTGTGGGGGCATCAGCATTACAGAGCTAGTGGGAACCCAAAGAACATCTAGTCCAGCCTCACCATCCTTCATCATGTCAAATCAGACCTAAGATATGCTAGGAGTGTCACCAAAATGGGCCCGCAGAGCAAATGCCTGCAGAGGGCAGCTCAAGCAAGTGAGCCAAGCTGCACACTTTGGGGGAATACTGGAAGGACACAAAGCAGTCCTGCTAGAAGGAAAAATTCCTTCCAGAACCCAAAATGTGATTCCCTCTTATTCAGATCCTGGGGAGAACCCATTTGTCAGATGGAGGGGATCCTCTGTGGAGCTCAGATGGACAGACAGAATGAGTCACAAGAGCGATTTTCAGCTCAATGGATTCTCCAGATTATGTCACTCTTGGAAAGCCCATGGGGGGGGGGGGTAACAGCTTTTTCCCATTTTGGGATGTTCCCCACAGAGTCTTCTGCAAGAGCCCCCCTCTGCCCCCCCCCACTTACCCTTGGTGGAGCTGTCGGACCCCTGGTCGCTTGCTGCAAAAGGGAGGAAACACAGGAGTCAGGATCTCGGGGACGGACATCCAAGGGGGCTCAAGGACAGCAGTGGGGGAGAAGCAGGTGCTGGAGGGCAAAGAGAGATGGGCACAGCCTGGCATGGAGGCAGTGGGGCACTAGAGCGAGGGTGGGTGCAATTTGTGAAGGAAGGGGGTAGAAAGGCAGAAGGGGGGGAGAGCAGTGGTGCCAGCTTCAGGTTCTAGTAGATTAAACCACCAGAGATCCCTGTCTCCCCCCACCCTCGGCTATTCCTCCTGCTCCTTCTTGGAGCCCCTCCCTCAGCCGACAGTCTCTCTGCAGCCTTTTCCTGGCCCTGAGGGACCCCTTGCTGTCCACAGACAGGCTGAGCAGACAGGCTGAAGCTTCCCATCAGGGTCTTGGGCTTAAGGACCAGGCCACCACCAGGTTTAGTTTAGTCTGTTTGCAACCTGTTCCTCCTCGTGGGGGGGAAATACGTCAGACAGAGAGAGGGGAGGTGTCACTCACTTGGGGTTTCTTCGTAGGCTGGTTTCCCTGTGAAGACAAAAGCAGGAGGTCAGAGCTGGAAGGGACCTCCAGAGGCCACTAAAATCCCATTTCAACCATTTGGTTCTCAGATGCTGAAACCTTCCCAGCAGAGGCTCCTCTTGTCTCTTCCAAACACCTCCAAGGAAGGGGAGCCCGGAAGGTGAGCATTTCAAGGAACTCAAGTTACATAGAATTAGAAACAAATTGAGGAAATTAAATAACTAAATCAACATGAAAGCCAGGCAGTAGTCAAATTCCAAGAGGGTGGAAGGAAACATTATCCAGTCACTTCACTTACTCCTTTTTCAGATTATTATTTCACTCCCAGCAGACCCCTAATCCTCAAATTTGCCCGGGGGGGGGGGGGGGGATAATGAACTTTAAGCCTAGGCAAGTCTGCTCAGAAGAAAGTCCTATTCAGTTCAATACAGCATCCTACCAGATCAATATTTATTTATTTATTTATTCATTTATTGAAGATAGCAGGGTGCTTCACAACATAAAAATACAAAATGAGAGCACAAAATACAGAATAAAGCAAAAACAAACCAGTAACTCCCCTCCCACAAACACATTTAAAAGGCCAAAGGCCTGGTTGGAGAGAAATGTTTTTGCCTGGCACCTAAAGATTTGTAAATAAGGCTCCCTGGTAAGTGTGCACAGGACTGAAGACTTAGGACTGATTAAAACATCAGGTGGGAAGTGAACCTCCAGAGCACAGAGTAAGCGCAAAGCAATGACCAAAAGGACTTTTGGTTCATGTTCAAAGGGTGTTTTATGGGGAGGGGTCTCTGTAGGGATGCCAGTTGCAGTTGCCAGGAAGCTCCACCAGCACATTCCCAGTCGGAGGCCAAGACAGAAGGACACAGGAGAAGCAGCAAACGCATCCAGGGTTTACTTACTGCGGATGAAGAAGAAGATGATCCCAAAGATCCCAGAGACCAGCAGGATGGCAGCCATGACACCCAAAATGGCTCCCACAATGAGCCCCAGGTTGACTGAAAGGGGAAAAGAGACATTTTTATTCAGACTGGCGGCAGCAGCTCCCCAAGGCCTCAAGCAGGAGATTTGAGTGGAGGTGCTGAGCTATGAGCCCGGGAGGATTTTACGTGTGCAAAGCAGGCCCTCTCTCTCTCCTGACAGGCCAAGGTCCTCTCTGTAGTGGCCCCAACACAAGGGAGGTTTTTTCCACCAGAGTCCAGCATTAGAGGTCTTTAAAATAACCATTTTATTTAAGGAAGACGGTTGACAGGCACACCTGTTTCATCACAGACTGAAGACTTAAAAGCAGGTCTCCTCCTGCTCAGGCGCTTCAGCCTTCTCTGTCCTGACCCTGAGAGGAAGGGATTCCCTCCCCTCTGAGACCCCCCAGAGCCCAGCATTACAGGCCTTCAGGGAAGACACAAACCCTTAGGAAAAAGCATCTTGTGTACGGATGCTATACGTCTGGTTTTTCCTGGACACGCTCTCTTTTTCAGACTTAAAATGTCTGTCCAGACAAAATTTTTAAATGAGGCAAAATGTCCAGGTTTTTTTGTTTGTGTAGAATCTCTGAAGTCCGTAGCGCTGGTGAGTGAGCCCTGGTCCCCTCTGCCCTCCCTGTGGGAGTCTTTGGCTCAAGGGCCACTTCCATAATCCCCGCTTGCCTGCCTGTGAGAAGGGGAGTCTGGGGTGTGGGTGGGGATGTGCGTTCATGGGCTCCTGCTGGGGAAAAGGGAGTCTTGCACTTAAGACATTCTGCTTTGGTTCCTGCAGGCACAGCTTTCCTGGCGGTGTGTCTGTGGGATGAGCTTTGTTATTAAAAAAACCCTTCTTCCTCTTCCCAGCGGTGTGCGGGTGTTTGGGCTGAGTGGGGCTGTGTATCAGTTTTTCTAGTTGGGAACGAGTGTGAGGAGGAGCGAGTGAGAATCTTTTTCACTGTGAAGGACAGTCGGTCCGGGGCTCCCTCTTTTAAGTTCTCTGCCCCTTTTTCAGTCACAGAGAGTGTGAGTAAATCAGCCATGTGGAGGAGATAATTTGATTTTGAAGAAATAACACATCTGCCCACATTCTGTGACATTAAAACTGCTTGGGCTTAAAGGCAAAAAGGTGACAGCCCAGTTTTTATCTACAACATCCAAATTGAGACACTTGCCGGAAAAGGCTGCACCTCTGTCTAAATCTACAGATTCCGATTCAGTCACTTGCCTCCAGGGACACAGACAGGATCCAACTGGGGTTCCCCATCTGAGGAGTTGGGTGGAAGTCCCCCTCCCAGAGCCCACCCCTTCCCCTCCTGTCTGTCTGTCTGTCTGTCTGTCTCTCACCAGGCTCCTTCTCCCAGGCCACGTCCAGAGGCTTCTTCAGGCTGTCATGCTCCACGCGGCACCGGAAGTGCTCCCTCTCCTCGGGGTCGATCTGGACACTGAGCAAGAGATAGTAGGTCCCGTCCGAGTTGGGGGCGACCAATCCTCGGAGGGTGCCCTCCTGCCAGACCTCCCCGTCCTTCACCCAGTTGGCCTCAATCTCCTTGGGGTAGAAGCCGTGGACTTGGCAAACGAGGGTCTCCAGGCCGTCATAGTCTGCCTTCCTGGTCACCTTCACCACCGGAGCCTCTGCAAAAAGGGCCACACTGGGGTTAACAGAGAGACATCCACAACAGAAGGAATCCTGTATTTTTTAAGAGCAGAGGAGCAGGGACCCAAGGGGCAACCTAGTCAGAATCTCACATCTCCAGAAATTAAAAAGAACAGTGAATAAATGGGATTCCTCAACCTGCCTTGGCATCTTCCCCAGTCAGTGTCTATGGTGGAACTGTTTTTAGATGTTTTATCCTTTGTTTGCCAAAGCAGACTCCTTTGGAAGGAAGGACAGGGTAATAATAATAATAATAATAATAATTTTTATTTATACCCCGCCCTCCCCAGCCAAGGCCGGGCTAAGAGCGGCTTACAAGCAATAATAAAAACAAGTTGAATGAATACAACTTAAAAACAAAATTAAAATACATTAAAATATTGAAACATTAAAATGTAGCCTCATCGCAGCAGGAGAAGGAAAAGAAAAAAGAAAGAGAGGGAGGGAATCAAGTTGATTCCAAGCCAAAGGCCAGGCGGAACAACTCTGTCTTACAGGCCCTGCGGAAAGAAATCAGATCCTGCAGGGCCCTGGTCTCATGAGGCAGAGCGTTCCACCAGGCCAGAGCCAGAGTTGAAAAAAAATTGAATTGTCATCTTGCAAAGCTCCAACACTACTCAAACATGACAACTTGTGGTCCCAAGATTGTCCCAGGGAGCAGCCTCTAGGCTGAGGGGACAAATTTCACCAGGTCCCCAATTCATTCAGATCCTTCCAAGTTGCAAGTCATGAACTGAGGGCAGCTAAGACTGATCCTGGTTTCCTCTCTTGAGGGGGAAGAAATCCTGGACTCGCTGCTCTCTGTTCTCTGGGACTTTTCAGCTCCATAGTTACTGAGCAAAGCCAACAGCCCTGGGAAAGACAGAGCTCCTTTCTAGTTCTCCCGCCTGCCCTTGTTGTCACCCTTGAAAACGCTTCACTGTGGCTTTTGAGGTGAAATCCTCAACCTCAACAAATATGCTCAGGGTCTCTGGGGTGAATTATCACCAGGCCCCCATAGATGAATTTGCTCAGATCTCTCTAAGCACGGCTAATACGTATGTGTCATTCCTCAAAAAGGGAGGGTGCCAGAATTATTTCATTTTTAATTAATGTTAATATCAGCAAAGCTAATAGAGAGAGACAGGAAGAAAGCCAGTCAAAACACTTGATCATGTGACTGGCCCCTGTTCCAGATTCCTGAAGGCAGAAGAGTGGACTGTACCATTTCAAGGCACGGGGTGGGGGAGGATGACACTTCTGAATGTTCCCCATGGGAAAAAGTAAAATTCCTCACAAATAAAAAATATAAGAAAGTAGAAGAGGGAATTCCCATACTCTCTCACTATGTGCAGGATTTCTGCTTCTAGGCCACAAGTGGCTAACCTACAGACTTAGTGAGGGGGCTGCATCCATACTTCATGGGCTCCCCACACATTTTCTATTTTAAAAAAGGTTAATTAATTTAGTTTCAAAGACTTTCCCCATAAGTATGTAGGGGGAGGTGGGGCACATTGATGCAAGGGGCTCATTGATACACCCACAATATTTCAATGTCTAGAAACGTTATTCGTGTCGTGACATCACTAAAACGTGTCTATACATGTGTGAGTATGACAGTTGCGACCGCGCTGCCCGCCAGTTCGCCATTGGCGTTTGACGAGAGTAGGTGGGTTTTTAGCGTGGCCAACTAAAAAATTACGTGAAATGTAAAAGTGTTCCAATGCTGTTTTTCTTCGTTTAGTTAAGATTTAATAATACCTAAGGTAAATAATCAGTAATCAGGATTACATGTGATTTTTAAGTAAGTTCAGTGGTTTTATGAATTGTTAGTTTTCTGAAAATGTCTGTTGGGGCACTTTGATAAACTAAGACGTGGGGCACATTGATACGTATAAAAGTGCTCCGCTAGTGTACAATAGTGCCCCAATATACAAGTTTGCATGAAATCTCTAAACTGATTAACTACTCATGAAATTTGAAAAGAAAAAAAAACTGTTGTTTACTATGTGGTCAAAGTCATTTCCAAATATAATATGACCGATTATCAAGTGTCATATCTCAAAAAAATATCCAGGATCTTTTATGTTTGTCTTCCCCATTGTAGAAGATAAGGCAAGCACTGATTTCAAGGATGCTGTTTTGCCAAAACCAAATTTCTCAAAGGACACATCTCGAACATCATCTCTATACTTTTTCTTTTGACTTCCGTGGATATAATGTGCAATAGAAGTTAAACGTTAAGGAAATATCTTATTTTTTATAAGCATTTTGTTTAAATTACTATTTTTGGACTACATAATGTGAGTTCTTATACTTTTTAAAGTTTTTCCAAAGTTTTTTTTTAATGGATATGTGTTTGAGGAAAGATTAGTATAAGTTTTGAAGTTTTGTTACGAAAACCTGCCATA